CCCCCCCCTTCCTCCATCACCGCCAGTGCAGGAATCAGTGGCCCAGGTGGGGAGGATGTGCTAGGGGCTGCACGTGGCCGGACGAGGCTGGGCCTGGGGGGCGGTGCGGACCCCCAGCTCCGTGCCAAGGGGTCTGTGCCCGGAGAAGGGCAGGGCGGTGCGGCCAGCTGGGGCCTCTCCAGCTCTTTCGTAAGCTCTTTAAGAGCATTTATGGAATTAAGCCCCGTAATCTCCTTCCTCTCCCCCTGCGGCGAGTAAAGATCATCCCCGGCTCACCCAGGGGGAAGCTGCCGCCTGGGGGAGCCTGGGATCGATCCCAGGCATCCTGAGCATGGCCCACCCATGTCTGCCCACTGCACCTCGCTGCCTCGCAGGGCTGGCCACATGCATGCCCTGTGCATGTCCGCGTCTCTGCCTCGGGACCTGGCTTTTGCACCGTGCTGCACCCTGGGGGGGTGGGACTGGGGGATCCGCTGCACCCGACTGGGGCTGCCCCGAGTCACAGGCCGAGGGGCATCCTCCAACACGCGCCATCCTCTTGCCCCCTGCTCAGAGCCTGTCGGCCTCGCCGCCCGAGAGCCTGCCGGACGAGGAGAGGCCGGGCGGCGCCGGCCTCAAGCGCAAACGGGAAGACAAGGACCTGGCAGGACATTATGTGAGTGCGGCCTGCAGCATGGCCCAATGGGTAGAGCACCCAGGGAGCCTTCACTTCCCCTTGCACAGACAGGCCGGCTAAGCTGGTGTCGCTCCCTCCCTGCCTCAGTTTCCCCTTTAACAACGTGAGCTGCCATCGGGGGGCTCAGACCCTCTCGCCGATGCCTTGTCTAATTAGACCGAAGCTCACCGGCTCCGTTAGGTGTACGGCGCCGAGCACGCCGGATCCCACCCTGAATCCCGGTTCACGAATGGGCTTTCCCGTGCTTCTTCCTGGCTTTAAAATGCAGCGGGAAATATTGGGCGGGGGGCAAGGTGGGGGAGCGCCGGCACCATCTGGCTCCCTGGCTCGGGTAGCGCGGGTGTCGTCGCCATGCTAGCCCAGGGGGCCACGAGAGAGGCACGAATGCAGCTATGTTGTGTCACACCGCTTCTCCCTCCTGCAGGACAGCGACGGGGACAAGAGCGATTACAACCTGGTCGTGGACGAGGTGAGTTTTGCCCTGCGTCCCTCCTCCTCTCCAGCCCAGGAGGGAGACAGGATCGAAGGCAAGAAGCTGCTGTCGGCCTTGCCGCTCCGGGCTGGCTGCGCGGTCACCCGTGTGGTCCCCCGAAAGGCCCTGGGTGCTCCTGTTGCCTCTCGCCTGCAGGACCCCCCCTCGGAGCCCGGCAGCCCAGCCCACGCGCCTGGCGGCAAGCTCCCGCCCGCCCGCAGGGACGTGCCCGACAGCCCGGCCTCGCTGGGCTCCAGCCGCAGCACGACGCCCCTCAAGCTGAAGGAGCAGAGTCTGGTGAGGGCAGTGCTGGCACAGGGGTGGGGCGTGCGGTAGGTGGCTGCAAAGCAGGTACCGCACGTGCCCTCCACTGCCCCAGGCTCTGCTCACGGGGGCCTGGGCCTGGCACGGGATGCTCGGCCTGGACGGGTGTCGGGACAGTGATGCCGATACTAAAGGCTCTTCGTTGCAGACGGACGTCTCGGCCAGCACGCCTGCCCCGAAGTCCACCGGCTCTTCCCCTCCGCGCGACACCCTGACGCCCGGCCCCGGCCCCAGCTCCGTGACCCACCTCCGGCAGAGCGCCACCAAGACGCCCGCCACCGACACCATCAGTGAGTCTGGGGCTGCGGCTCGGGCAAGGGGAGCGGGGCCCCCGGGACGCCCTCCCGGCCCCGCCTGACCCCGCGCTCCCCTGTCTCCGGCCCAGCCCTGCGCAGCCCCCTGAGCGTATCCAGTGCCTACACGTCGTCCTTCGGGATGGTGCCGCACGCGGCCATCAACGGGGAGCTCGCCGCCCCCAGCACCTACATGAGCATCCACCTCTCTCCGCAAGTCAGCGGCACCGTGATGTACGGCCGCTCGCCCATGGTGAGTAGGCGCCCAGCTCCGCTCCGGGAGAGCTGCTGCGCTCTTCCCCCAACAGTGTGCCTCTCCACGAGCCGGGGGAGGTACCTCCTGCTGCCAGCTTGGGGGTGTGGGTCAGGGCAAAGCCGGGGAGCCCACATGGGGGCTAGGGAGGGAGGAGCTGAGTTACCGTACTTCCTCACATACAACGCCTCCCCCAAAAGATACGCCCCTTGCTTTTCAAAGTCACCAAGTGGCAGCGGCGGGGAGGCAGCTGGGCCTGCTCCTTGCTCTGCTCCCTGCGGCTCTGGCCCAGCTTCTCCTTCCTTCTTTGCCTGGCGAGGCAGAAGCTGCTCTTACTGTATTGCTCGCATATAATGCGCACTCCAGTCCCCAGCTGCTGGCTTTCGGGCAAAAGGTGCCTGTTGTTGGCGAGACATTATGGTACGTGGCTCGGGGTGAACCACCCCCAGCCCCAAACCATGCCCCAGCTCCCCCGCGACCTCGCTGAGCGGGACGTGTCTTTATGGGGAGCCAGACACGGCCTTGTGTTGTGCCTGGCAGACAACAGGGCCCCCCCAGTCCTGCAGGGTCAGAGCCCTTCGGTGCGGCTGCTCCTCCCAGCCTGCGCGGGCCTTGGCACTGGGATCTGCTCACCCAGCCCCATTGCTTTTCCAGGTGGCATTTGAGTCTCACCCACACCTGAGGGCCTCCAGCATCTCCTCCTCGCTCTCCAGCATCCCTGGAGGGAAACCGTAAGCGTGGGCAGCTTTGCCTGGGGGCCGGAGGGTGGGGGCCTCCGGCTTTCCCAGCGGCGGGGAAGGAGTGTCGCACAGTGGTCCGTGCGCAGCACAGGAATGCAAGATTTGCTTGCTGCTCTCAGCTCTGCCACTGCCTCCCTGCATGGCCCTTGGCAACTCCCTTATAGGCAACAGGCAGGGCCGTGCTTACTTCTCCCAGCCCAAGAACCTCCACCGTGGGCAGGGGAATCTGCTGAGACAGTCCCCAGCCTGCTCCAAAGGGGACGATGCCTTTTCCAGCCCCCATCCAGGACATGTTCTCCCCCCTGCAGAGCCTACTCCTTCCACGTGAGTGCCGACGGGCAGATGCAGCCGGTGCCCTTCCCCCCCGATGCCCTCCTGGGCTCTGGCATCCCCCGGCACGCCCGGCAGCTGCACACCTTGACCCACGGCGAGGTGGTCTGCGCCGTCACCATCAGCAGCTCCACGCGGCACGTCTACACGGGCGGCAAGGGCTGCGTGAAGGTGTGGGACGTGGGGCAGCCGGGCACCAAGACGCCCGTGGCGCAGCTGGACTGCCTGGTACGGGGCAGGGGGAAGGAGCCGAGGGAGGGTAGCGGGGACCAGTGCAACCAGAGTAGTAGGGCCAACTCCCCCCAGGGGGTAAAGCATCACATGGGCAGGCTTTTGCACCAGTGGAGGATCTGGAGTAGGGGGTGAGGGCTGAGTTGCGGTAGGGGGTGCTGTTGGCTGGGCACCCCCAGAGCCCCAGATCACTGACCACCACTCCCTGGCCCCTGCGCAGAACCGCGACAACTACATCCGGTCTTGCAAGCTCCTGCCAGACGGGCACAGCCTCATCGTCGGGGGGGAAGCCAGCACCTTGTCCATCTGGGACCTGGCCGCCCCCACCCCGCGCATCAAGGCCGAGCTGACCTCCTCGGCGCCCGCCTGCTACGCCCTGGCCATCAGCCCCGACGCCAAGGTCTGCTTCTCCTGCTGCAGCGACGGCAACATCGTCGTGTGGGACCTGCAGAACCAGACCATGGTGCGGTGAGTGAGGGGCTCCCCCATCCAGGCCTGCCCTCGCCCCTGGCTGGGGGCTGAGCAACGAAGGACACTTCAGCAGGGCTCTTTCTAGCTTAGAAAGTCAGTGCCAGTGCCAAAGGCGAGTCCCCTGATGCCCAGTCTCTCCCCGTCCCCCTGCTCCAGGCAGTTCCAGGGCCACACGGACGGCGCCAGCTGCATCGACATCTCCAACTACGGCACCAAACTGTGGACGGGGGGGCTGGACAACACCGTGCGGTGCTGGGACCTGCGGGAGGGGCGCCAGCTGCAGCAGCACGACTTCAGCTCCCAGGTGGGTGCCCAAACCCTGGAGGGCAGGGGCCCCCTTAACCTGCAGCAGGCACGGCCTGACTCCGCCTCCTTTTGCAGATCTTCTCGCTGGGGTACTGCCCCACGGGCGAGTGGCTGGCCGTGGGCATGGAGAGCAGCAACGTGGAGATCCTGCACGTCACCAAGCCTGAGAAGTACCAGCTGCACCTGCACGAGAGCTGCGTCCTCTCGCTCAAGTTCGCCGCCTGCGGTGAGAGCCGGTGGGGACCGTGTGTGCCCGGGGCTGCAGGGCTGGGAGGCTCGAGGCTGGGGTTGCCAGGGGACCTCTGTCCCCATCCTCCTCCCTGCCTGGGCTGCTGGGGGGGGCAAGACTCGGGGCAGCCCTGATTTGGGGCAGGGTCTCTGGGCACGGCTGACACACCGCTCTGCCAAGTCTCCGGAGCTGGGGAGGCTGCGTAGGTGGCTTCCTTTCCCCAGCCCTGCCCGTGCATCCCGGCAGAAACTGCCCCCACTGTCCCACTCCCCCTGGGGCAGCTTGGGCGCTGGCCCTGCTGACCTGGGCTCTCCCCCCCGCAGGCAAGTGGTTCGTGAGCACGGGGAAGGACAACCTGCTCAACGCCTGGAGGACGCCATATGGCGCCAGCATCTTCCAGGTGGGCAAGGGCATGGCTGTCGCCGCCTTGGGCGGGAGCCAGGAGGCAGCGGCCCCGCCAGGCCTGGGCATCAGGGAGGTGGGGCTGGCCTAAAGCTGCCCCTTGCGCTAACCCTGCCCTCCCGCCCTGCAGTCTAAAGAGTCCTCGTCGGTGCTGAGCTGCGACATCTCTGTCAACGACAAGTTCATTGTCACGGGCTCCGGCGACAAGAAGGCCACAGTCTATGAGGTGGTGTACTGAGGGGCCGGGGGCTCCCTCCACCCCGCTGGGACCCTTGACCAAAGCCAGGCCCAGAGACATCCATCCCTTCGCCCTCGGCTCCGGGGCTGCCTCGTGGTGGAGGGGAGCGGGGCTCCCTCATGCAGCGGTGCAGACTTCCCCATGGCTGCCCACACCGAGGGTGGAGGAACAGCCGCCCCTGGGAAGCAGCGAGCCTCTTGTCCTCCCTGCGTTCCCTTCCTGGCAGCCGCGGCAGGCTAGGGTCGGGGGCAGGGCCCCTGCTCTCTCCCTAGCCTTTGGGGATGGTCAGAGGGCCAAGGAAGAGAGCAGGGGGCAGGGAAGAGGCTAAGGCTGAGGCCAGGTCTTTCCCCACCTGATTTGCTACTGATTCAGCACCCGCCTTTCCCCCAGCCCATATGTGCCAGGCGAGGCCGCGTGCCCACCCTGTCCCAATAAACACTTCGGATTTTCTACCTGCCTGGACATCTGCTCATTTTAGGCGTCTGCTGCATCAGCCTGGCCTGGGACCGCGGGGCTCAGGGAGGAGTGAGGCCCCGAAACCACTATGAGCCTGCCCCAGCAGAAACTGTTCCAGCTGCGGGACCCCTCCCGCACCGCTGCCCATGTCCGGCAATGGTTGTGGAACCGCTGAGATGGGCCACAGGCCTCTGGGGCTTGTGGGGGCAGCCCTGGACTGGGGGCTAGGAGCCCGGGGATGACAGCCCAGGCCCCTGCCAGCCCCACAGCCTCCTAGCTCGAGCTTGCATGTGCAGAACAGGCGCAAGGTCCGTCTTCCTGGAGGCACTGAGGCCGGGCACCACCTGTCCATGCCCAGCCCCATTGCAGGGGAGAAGCTGGCCTGTCCCTAGCTGTGCAGGGATCTGCACTCAGCACAGGGCAACCCCTCCTCCCCCTGGCCCCTAGTCCGTGCTGGTGGTAGGAATGCCTCCCCCATCCAGCCCCCTGGAGCGATGCACCCCCAGGCCTGGGGGCAGGGGGCCCAAGCCCCATGTGCAGGCTTGGGGGGACCTGCTCCAGCTCAGACCTGGCAGCTGCAGCCAGGGGACAGCGAGAAGCAAGGCAAGGCCCTGGGTCCTGGATCCCTGCTTCTGCACCTGCCCCCTCCCTGCCCCGCCTGGCCAGTAGCCTGTGGGCACTGGCGGCAGCCCTGAAGGCAGAACAGGCTCCCTGCTGTGCCCTTCCCCTCCTGCTGTGACCTGTAGTGAGTGTTGGGGGGAAGAGGGTTTTGTTCCAGGGCTTCCCCCAGGACCCAGGGGGCTTGCTTGCAAGCAATGAAGGCAATGGCAGGGGGCTAAAGGGACTGGCTGAGCAGCACCAGCAGGCAGAGGGGGCCAGTCGCTGCCCCACGATGGTTGCAACAGCCCCCATGGCTGCAGGTAACGGAGTCTGGGATCGGCCTGGGATGGCAGCCACAGGTTCCCCAACCTTGCCCCCCGCCTTGGCAGGTCCTTCTACCTCAGACAGCTGCCAGGATGCTACAGGCCCCCTGCCAAAGGGAAGCGGGTGCCTGGTGCCCCCAGACCACATGGCCTCTGGCCCCGAGACAGGATGGCACCAGTGGTGCATGGCTGAGATGGCTCCCCCCAGCCATGGACAACCCTGGGCACAGGGGCACAGCAGCCACCCCTGCCTCCCCACAACCGGAGGCAGAGAGCACGGATGACACCACAGCTAGCACCGGCGCCTGGAAGGATCACGGCTGACGAGAGGGACAGGGTGCAGCCCGTGGGTAGGGCTGGGCCTTGGCCCCCAGGAGCAGGTTGGAGGAGAAGAGCAGCGGAGAAGCGAGGCGGGGGCTCCCTGCGGGGGGGGGGGATGCACTGTGGCCAGGAAGTGGGGCTCACTCCAAAACCCCCCAGGCACCATTGTCTCAAGCGAGCAGGGTCCCAGGCCGTAGCAGAGCCCCGCTGCCCCTTCGCAACACCCCAGCCCCAGCTCTTGCCCTAGCCAGGGACCTCAGCGCTGTTTTCTCTCTTTTTTATTAAATACAACCTAGACGCCGGCCCCGGCGCCACCCGCCCAGCCTTGGCAGCAACAAAAAGAGCCGGTAAAAAAAAAATCCCCAACGGCTGCCGGAGTCCGAAGCAGAAACCCAGCGGGAGCAGAGGCAGAGTCCTGGGACTGTGAGCCACACCGCCAGCGCCCCTGAGCCCCTGTAGGCGAAGAGGGATCCTGGTGGGGACCCCCACAGCTCAGCGCTGCTCCACCTCCCAACTGGGAGGGGAAGGGGGGGTCTTTGGAAACGGCCGTCGCAGCTGCATCCAGACAGAGGGGAGGTGGGGGTGGGATGGGTGCCCCGGGGTCCCCCAGCCATCAGCGCTCAGTAAATGACCTCGTACACGGTGGCCTTCTTGTCCCCGGAGCCGGTGACGATGAACTGGTCGTCAGTGGAGACGTCGCAGCTGAGCACGGAGGAGGATTCCTTGGACTGCAAGGGGGTGGGATGGGGTTAGGATCAGGAAGTGGCTCGGCATCCTTCCCATCCCCACCCCTCCCAGCTCCCGCAGTGTGGTTGATACTGGGCTGGTCCGGGGGCTACCCATTGTTCCCCAGGAAAGTGCCACCCCCTCAAGCCACCCCCACTGACCACTTCCCTGCCAGGACACATCACCCGGTCTCACCTGGAAGATGCTGGCGCCGTATGGCGTCCTCCAGGCGTTGAGCAGGTTGTCCTTGCCCGTGCTCACAAACCACTTGCCTGCGGGGAGAGAGCATCAATGAGTGACCCCCCACTGGACACAAGGGGTGGGGGGGGCTGCCTCTCTCCAGCCCCTAGAGTAGAAGGCCTCGGTAGGTGAGAAGGGAGCGCTGCAGGAGAGGCAGGTGCTGCAGTGAAGGTGCAAGACCATCTCCCGGCAGAGGGTGAGTCCAGGCAGGCTGTAAAGTGGGGCGGAGGGAAAGAGACATGCACCACAAGGTGCTGCAGCCCACAGCCTGTGGTCTGGCTCCCCGGTGGCCCCAAGCCCCTCACCGCAGGCGGCAAACTTGAGCGAGAGAACGCAGCTCTCGTGCAGGTGCAGCTGGTACTTGTCAGGCTTGGTGACGTGCAGGATCTCCACGTTGCTGCTCTCCATGCCCACGGCCAGCCACTCGCCCGTGGGGCAGTACCCCAGTGAGAAGATCTGCAAAAGGAGGCAGAGTCAGGCCGTGCCTGCTGCAGGTTAAGGGGGCCCCTGCCCTCCAGGGTTTGGGCACCCACCCACCTGGGAGCTGAAGTCGTGCTGCTGCAGCTGGCGCCCCTCCCGCAGGTCCCAGCACCGCACGGTGTTGTCCAGCCCCCCCGTCCACAGCTTGGTGCCATCGTTGGAGATGTCAATGCAGCTGGCGCCGTCCGTGTGGCCCTGGAACTGCCTGGAGCAAAGGGAAAAGGAGAAAGAGCGGGTGTCAAAGCATGGGTTGGTGTAGGGGCAGCCCCAGCACCTGCCCCCCTGCATGCTGGGATCACCCAGGAATGGCACCCCCAACTCACCGGACCAGTGTCTGGTTCTGCAGGTCCCACACGACGATGTTGCCGTCACTGCAGCAGGAGAAGCAGACCTTGGCGTCGGGGCTGATGGCCAGGGCGTAGCAGGCGGGCGCCGAGGAGGTCAGCTCGGCTTTGATGCGCGGGGTGGGGGCAGCCAGGTCCCAGATGGACAAGGTGCTGGCTTCCCCCCCCACGATGAGGCTGCGGCCATCCGGCAGGAGCTTGCAAGACCGGATGTAGTTGTCGCGGTTCTGGGGTGGGGGGAGAGCAGAGTCAGCCTCTCCACCAGCTCATAAAACCTCCCTCCCCTCGTGCAGCCGATTGCATCCTCCTTAGCGTGGGCTGTGGGCAGCTCTCAGCCACCTCTGCACATGGGGGATGGTGGGCAGAGACCTGGCTACCTGCACCGCGACCAACACCCGGCTGGCACAAGAAGAAGCCCTGAGCTTCACCTGTGCCCCATCAATGCCAGCACCTCTGGGAGCTGGGCCACAGGCGTGGCTGGCTGAGGAAGAGAAGCACAGAGTGGGAGCCTGGGGGGTTCAAGTTCATTGCCAGGGTCTCCAAGGCAGCCTGGAAGGCTCCCAACTCATCAGCTTCCTTGTTCACACATCCACACATGGCCCCCAGCCAGCAGGGGAGGGGAACTTGGTGTAGGACATGTAGCAGTACTTGCAATCCAGCACAGTGGAGGTTAAAAAAAATACTGCTGGGGAGATCACCTGCCGCCCCCAGCTCAGCCTGGGAGAGCTCCTGGGTTCACCATCCTGTTTTCCAGCTTTTCTACGTGCATTTTTTGCATATGACAAATCCGGGTCCCATGGTAGGGCTCACCTCCTGTCTCAAACCGCTACGGGGCAGAAGCCATATTCCACCCCAGATGAGCCAGGGGGTGCCTGGGGCATTGAGGCAGAGGGGTGCCCAGGGGAAGATGCCCTATGGCTCACCCCAGCAGGCTCGCACATGGTCCTGCCTACAGAGCAGAAGGTGCCCTGAGACCTCTGTAAGCCCAGCAGCCCACCCTGGGGTGCACCCCTGCTTGGGGACGCGCAGGAGCGGGGCAGTGGAGACGGGGACCAAGCAGGGAGCAGCTCAGACGGACAGAGACCCCCTCACGCTGAGCCCCTGCTGCCCTGTCCAGCCCACCCAGCCAGGGTGGGGAAAGGGCAGGGGCAGGAATTCATGAGGGCAGAACCTGCTCCATCCCAGCCCGAGATCCTTCCCTGGTGTAAAAGCTCAAGAGGTCCATGCCTGCCCATGCAGAGCTTTACTCCACTGGGGGGAGTTGGTCCCAACACTGGTTGCACTGGTTGCCCCCCCCACTTCTCCTTCTCCTCCTGCCCTTGCCCGTACCAGGCAGTCCAGCTGGGCTACAGGCGTCTTGGTGCCTGGCTGCCCCACGTCCCACACCTTCACGCAGCCCTTGCCGCCTGTGTAGACATGCCGCGTGGAGTTGCTGATGGTGACGGCGCAGACCACCTCGCCGTGGGTCAGGGTGTGCAGCTGCCGGGCGTGCCGGGGGATGCCGGAGCCCAGGAGGGCATCAGGGGGGAAAGGCACCGGTTGCATCTGCCCGTCGGCGCTCACGTGGAAGGAGTAGGCTCTGCAGTGGGGATGGGGGAAGCTGAGACCAACATCCCAGGCACAGCCCCACTGGCTGGTAGGGATGCTCCCAGGTCCTGCAGTGCCAGGGACAAGCCCAGCATTGCATCCAACAGGTCTTCAGAGCCAAGCGAGGGTGAGATGGTGCCACGCATGGGGTGGGGGGTGCCCTGTGTCTGTCAGCTTCAGCCCTGAGCAGCCTGGACACCCACCCAGAGGGGGCTGTGCCCACGGCCGATGCAAAGGAACCCCCATCACCCAACCCCTAGCTCAGGTCTCTCTCCCCCCCCATCCCCTGCTTCTCCCTGCCCCCATCCGAGCACCCACTTACGGCTTGCCCGAGGTCCCCGCCTGCATGCCAGCTGCCAGCCCGGGCACGCACATGTGGGGATGGGGGTCATAGCCCACCTAGCAAAGCAAAGCGGAGACAGGAGGAAGCCTGTTAGTGCCTGGGGGGCAGTGCCCAGAGCCCCTCCCCGCTGCAAGGGGGGACACTCACCAGAGGAGAACGGCCATAGCCACCAGCTGCCGCAGCCGCCCCATTAAGCTGCGGGGACATGAGCTGAAGCCCCGCGTAGGTGCCAGCGCCGGCCATGTCGCCGTTGACGGAGGGGTGGGCCATGCCAAAGGCTGCTGGGTACGAGCTCTGCATGGCCAGCGGGTTCCTCAGGCCCAGCGCTGGGGAGACAGAGGGCGTTGGAGAAGCCTCGGGCACCAGCACCGGAAGATGGCAGGGGAGGGGTGGTGACCTGTCACAGCCCTGGTGGAGACAGGCCTGGCCTCCTCTGCGGCTAGGACTGCCCCTGGGTGCGATGCACAGGCCACAGGCAGCTCCAGCAGCCACCAGCTCCTGTGGGCACCGGCCACTGCCACCCTCAGGGAGCAAAGCCCCACAGGCTGTCCCCCTCAGAGCCCTGCCAGGCTGGGCCGGAGCTCCCCACGCCGCCCGCCAGCCCAGCCTGCCCCGTTACCCAGCGAGTCCACCGAGGTCTTGGCGGTGCTCGGGCGGAACTGCTGCCCGACGCTGCTACTGGAGCCAGGGCCCGCGGACTCGCCCTGCGACGTCGGGGTGCTGGACTTCAAGCCGGGCGTCCCGGCCTTCTCCACCTGCCCAGGCAGGAGATGCGCTCAGTGCCTGGATACCCCAGCGCTCCCATCTGCCCTCCCACGGCACAGCCGCCTCCGTGCTCATGGCCACCTCCCTGCTGCACCCAGCTGGGCACCGGTCAAGCTGCTGCTTCTCTGGGATC